CCCACCCTCACTCCCGCACACAGACTGACGGAGGAGGCCAGTGATCCGCTGGGAAGGGGGTGGCCTGCGTTGTGTCCTCTCCTTCGCTCAGCCTGGGTAGCCCCTCGCCAGGGATGGCGCACCCCCAGCAAGGTCCCGAGACACACCAGCCACGGCCTCGAACCAGGCCCGCCAGGACTGCACCGGCCGCGGCCCACCTCGGACCCGACGGGACCACTGTCTCTGCTCCGAACCCTCCCGCCCCCGACGCGCTCCTCCTCGCACCCTCCCACCTGGGCTCAAAATAAACATCTGGTCTGACCTGCTGAGTTCTGAAGTCTGCGTGTGAGCTTGGCGCGGGTATAGGGGGCAGGAAGCAGAGGCCTTGGACCAGGCCTTGGGGGCCGGGCTCACACGCCCATGTATACGTGTGCAGACGGAGGCCAGGGGAGACCCAAGGGAGTTGTTCCCAAACAGAAAGGGACACCCAAGCCCACGTGCTTAAGTTTTAATAAGCTCCGCCTCCTTCCTCAAGCCCTGCACCTGCCCACCTGCCTCCGGCGCTCTTCCCAAAGCCAGGCTTTCTCCGCTCTCCACCCCCACCCTGGACCCTGCCCTCGCTAAGGCCTTGACCTCTGGTCTCTGCTCCAGCGCCCTCTGTCTAGTCTAGAGCTCGTAACTGTCTCCTGTCCGAGTTCCTCCCTTCCCTCGAGCGGGACTACTAGCTCCATTTCACAAATGAGGAAACTGAGGCTCGGCTCGGCCATATCACTTGCTCTAGGTCCTCAGGGCTAGCCAACCCCACAGCCCAGGTTCTTGGCTACCACTGAACAGCTGCCTTCCTGCCAGGGTCCACTCCTTTTGGAGAAGCAAAGCGCACAGTAGGAGTTTCGCGAGACTCAGTCCCGGAATGGAGGGAGGGCGGGAGATCTAAGGTCTCGGCTCCAGTTCACGGAGGAGATAAAATGCAGGCAGGTGGGGTGTCTCATGCGCCCCCACCTCCGTTCGCAAGCCAGTCTCTCCATCCTCTCCCATCTAAACTGTTCTCTTCGGCCGCAAACGCGGAGCCACGCCCCCATCTGTTTCCGCCTCCGCGCCGTGCTTTCTGGCCCCAGCGGCCTCCGTAACCCCGCCTACCAGGGAAACGGGCCCGGAACGCAGACACCGCCCTCGCCGGCATGAAGCCTCCGCAGCGGCGGCGAGCGGCCCCGGCGCGCTATCTGGGTGAGGTGACCGGCCCCGCGGCCTGGAGCGCCCGCGAGAAGCGGCAGCTGCTACGACTACTGCAGGCGCGGCAGGGCCAGCCGGAGCCGGACGCCGCTGAGCTGGCCCGGGAGCTGCCGGGCCGCAGCGAGGCGGAGGTGAGGGGGTCCTGGGAAGGGAGGGGGGCTGGAGCCCCGGCTAGGATGTGGGCGGGGCATACTTTGCG